ATTCCCAGCACACACATGGTAGCTCACAAACTCTGTAACTACAGTTCCCGGGGAATTAAGCACAGGTTTCTGGCTTCCACAGGCATCATACACGTGCAAGAAGATGGCTCAGTGGTTAAGACTGTTTATTGCTCTTGTGCAGGACCCAAGTTCAGTTCCTAGAATCCACATCAAGTGTCTCACAGCTGCCTGTAACTCCAAGTTCATGGGGCTCCCATGCCTCTAGTCTCCTCAGGTGCCTACTTCATCTGTATTCACTTGCAACACAAACATATACACATAATTAAGAATAATATATTTTTCTTAGAAAAGAGCAGTTCCTGCTTGAATTATGAATGGCCACTCTTACAGTGCTTGACTCCTTTTTGGCCCACTCAGCTGCCGACAAGTGGGAAGGGGTGAGGAGTTATAGACATTGCCCTGGGCTATGCCACTTCAGTCAGCATCATGGGTGGAGAAGTTTCCATGAAGAGGTAGCATATTCTGGAGGCTGGGGAGATGGCTCAGAAGATAAGAACACTTGTTCCACAAGTTTGAGAACTTGAGTTCAAATCCATGTAAAACGCTAGCTGTGGCATCCTACATGCCTGTGACTTCAGTACTGAGGGAGGTGGAGATAGGAGGGTCACTGGGGCTTGCTGGCTGCCAGCATAGTTTCAAATTCAGTGAGAGACTCTGTCTCAAGGACATAAACTGGAATGTGATAGAGGTGACCACCCTATGTCCTCTGCCCTCCATGTAGGCATGCATACATACATGCACACATGTGCATACACAAACACACAAACACACACACACACACACACACACACACACACACACACACACACATATATATATATATATATATATATATATATATATATATATATATACATGTGCCACATGCACACATAGTGTACTATATTCTATAAGGGCTCAAGTTTCTATTATGGTTGAAGTCAAGTCCTTTCATGTTTTTCAAAGATAATACTGACTTAATCTGTGTATCTGTGGTTTCCTCATTTAGAAATGGGTACCACAGTTCATTACTCAAGGGAGTATCATTGAGTTTAAAATAATAAAACAAGAATACTCAGTACAGTCCCTACCACAAATCAAACCCATAACAAATTGAAGCTGTATCCTTTTCAAGAGGATGTGGATGATACAACAGATTAATGTAATCCACTGATAATAGGTCATGTTTTCTATACTGAAATAGACACTGAGTGCTTATTTCCCAGGAACGGTGGTATTGCCCATGACCTGATAGAATCACTGAGTATCTTACTGTGGCTGCAATCAATCTTAATTCTTCTCACTGAGTGCAGGAGCTTGGATCTCAGCTCACAGTCACCAGGCCTACCTCATGCCGAAGGTGTCTGAAGACAGCCCTCATAAGCTGTGTAATGGGAGTCTAGCATGAAGCCTTCTCCAGGGGTGGCTGTGTTTGCAAAATGGCTGAGTGGTTATTTTCTGGCATTTCACTATCTGGGTCTTAGAAAACCATAAGTTATCACACAAAGGGAAACAGTGAGCTGAACCACGCGTGGGTGAGATGAAGTGCTTGATTCAAGACACAGAAATTCTTTTTATTGTTCTACAGTGACTTTGGACAATGGACCTTTTCACAGAAGCAAAGTTTGTACATAGTTGATGCTGTTCCATGTAAACTTTGGAATGGTTTTTAACATACCTCCTCTTTATTTTAAAGCCTTCCTAAAATGTTAACATACTTCTTGCCTTCTTAATTAAAGATGTGTACTATAAGCTTGATGTTTCTTTAAATGCTTTCTTTGAAGCTGGTGACATGTTTCGGGCTTCATTAATTTTCATAAGTCTGTGAGTGCTGCCTAACCCTTGCCTTCAGATGGGGAAACTCGGGGCAGAGAAGCCAAGTTATTTATTCAAAGTCATATAGTTAGAAGTGTTCGAGATGAGTTTTGAACTCCATTCCCCAGACCCTTAAGAAACAAAGATCCACAGCCAAACACCAGGCCGAGCTCCAGGAGTCCAGTCAAAGAGAGAGAAGAGGGATTCTATGAGCAAGGGGCATCAAGATCATGATGGGGAAACCTACAGAGACAACTAAACCAAACTAGTGGAAACTCATGAAATTTAGACCAATATTTGCGGAGCCTCCATGGGACTGGAATAGGCCCTCAGTGTAATCGAGACAGTTGTGTATCTTGATCTGCTTAAGGGGCCTCCTGGCAGTAGGATCAGGATCCATCCCTGGTACATGAGCAGGCTTTTTGGAGCCCACTACTTATGGGGACACCTTGCACAGCCTTGATGCAGGGGAAGGGGCTTGGACCTGCATCTACTGAATGTACCAGGCTCTGCTGACTCCCCATAGGAGGCCTTACCTTGTTGTAGAGGGAATGGGGGGTGGGTTGGGAGGGGGAGGCTGGAGGAGTGGGAAGAGGGGGTTCTATGATTGGTATGTAAAATGAATTTTAAAAAAACCTCTGAATAAATAAAAGAAACAGGACTTATTGTTGAAGGACATTTTTGGTTAAGAAGTGACAGAAATGTTTACTAAACATCAAAGTAGGACCCTTGGAAATCTGAACATCCACTTCCAAAGTGTTTCCATTATTCTGGTGTTTGAAAAAGGTGCACTGTAAACCTGAAATGCAAACTTTTGCATATCCATGAATATTCCTTTGTTTACCAGATGTTATTTTAGCACCTGCTTTATGGTGTGACTGTGGGACCATTGCATGCTAGGTCCTATAGAAACAAATAAATGTCATGAGGCACACAGTTGCCTTCCAAAGGGCCCCTTACAAGAGATGCATCATCTGAGGCAAGATGGGAACCTCACCTCATTCATGATCAGGAGGACCTCAAGAAAGTGTCAACTTTTAACTCACCCTTCAAGGAAATCATCCTTTTTGACTTCCTCTGCCCTGTCTGAATGAGACTAATGAGTGAGAGCAGAGGACATTGGTAGAATTACATGCTTTCGGAGCTTCAAAGAGGCCTCTCTGTGTTCAAAATAGTTCCAGCTGTCTTGTTTGGCCAGATACTAATGGACCTTGGGTTGGGTAAATATGTTTGGTTTTTGTTTTTTAGATGGTAGCTGATGAAAATGAGAAGCTTGTAAGAACTGCATCTCTTGATAAAAGATGCATTTTCTTTTTTTTTCCTTTTTTTTTTTTTTTTTTTTTTTTTTTTGGTTTTTTGAGACAGGGTTTCTCTGTGTAGCTTTGCGCCTTTCCTGGGACTCACTTGGTAGCCAAGGCTGGCCTCAAACTCACAGAGATCCGCCTGGCTCTGCCTCCCAAATGCTGGGATTAAAGGTGTGCGCCACCACCGCCTGGCAAAAAGATGCATTTTCAATGAGTTATGTTCCTCCATATGGTTAGCAAATTAAAAAAATGCAACTCTAGACTTAAGCCAATGTATACAAAGCCATTGGGGACACTGATGGCATTGTTGAAAGTGAGCATATGATTTCCTGTGACTATGACTTAGACATAAGTTTCATAACTGTCTCATTTTAAAAGTAACAAGTTAACAGAAAATACTCAGTAACTTCTTTTACTCGGTGGTTTCGTGTCAACTTGACACAAGCTATAGAGTCATCAGAAGAAGGAGCCTCAGCTGAGGAAATGCCTCCTTGAGATCCAGCTACAAGGCATATTCTCACTTAGTGATCAGTGGGGGAGGGCCCAGCCCATGGTGAGTGGTGCCATCCCTGGGCTGCTGGTTCTGGGTTCTATAAGAAGATAAACTAAGGAAGCCAGGGGAAGCAAGTCAGTAAGCAGCACCCCTCCATGGCCTCTGCACCAGATCCTGCCTTCAGGATCCTGCTCTGTTTGAGTTCCTGTTCTGACTCCCTTCAGTGATGAACAGCAGTGCTGAAGTGCAGGCCAAATAAACGCTTTGCTTCCAACTTGCTTTTTGATCATGATATGTCATGACAGCAATAGAAACCCTAACTGAGACACTTCTCCCATCCAGATATGACTTAGATTCTGTGTCCTCATACCCCTGGGGCCATCTTTTGATGCCCCTTCTCTGAGCCACCTTCCTCCCATAGGAAGTGATGCAGTCTCTGGATGGCTCCCATTCACTGTTGTGGGTGCTGCTCATACACAGTGCTGGTATACATGTGTAGGATTGTAGCTAGAGTTTTCCTACCTTGCCCACAGTCAGCACAAATCTTTGTCACCCGCCAGTGCCACAGCCACTCAGACCCGACCAAGTAAACACAGAGGCTTATATTGCTTACAAACTGTATGGCCGTGGCAGGCTTCTTGCTAACTGTTCTTATAGCTTAAATTAATCCATGTCCATAAATCTATACCTTGCCACATGGCTCGTGGCTTACCGGCATCTTCATATGCTGCTTGTCCTGGCGGCGGCTGGCAGTGACTCCCTCTGCCTTCCTGTTCTTTCTTTTCTCTCTGTTAGTCCCGCCTATATTTCCTGCCTAGCCACTGGCCAATCAGTGTTTTATTTATTGACCAATCAGAGCAACACATTTGCCATACAGAACATCCCACAGCATGGGATGATGGAAGAGAGACAGTTGGTTGTCTCGAGCCCTTTTAAATTAGGTCTCCTTTCTCTTTCTGTCTCACAGATCGACTGGTAGCCATTGTGTCTGGCTGCTTTCCATATGTCCGTTCATAACCACTCCCTAGTATACTTTCCCCCCTTGGATTAAGTGCTAGAATGTCTAATGATCAATCTAGTCAATATGTGTTTTCAGAATAAGAGTGAGCAGACTCTGAGGGAGGACAAAAGGGGCTGAATTAGAGTGTGAACTGCAACTGTCTTCACTGCCAGGAAAGCATTACTTATCCGCATGGAGATAATTGAATTTTGCTTTATTGCTGATATCTAGCTAAGTGGCATTACTATTAGGGACACTTTGGCAAGAAGGGGATGTTTTTTACAAAGAAGGAGGGAGAAGGTGGAAGGCAGGGGAAGGGAAGGGAACACCAGAGTGGTGGTGTGAGGGGATCTCATTTTGAATCTTTCTTTATGCTTGCTTTCCACAGTGGCTTGAACTTCCTCGACCTGATGGTGCGACAAGGGAATATTGACAACCCTCCTAAGACGCCCTTGGTGCCAGGATTTGAGTGTTCTGGGATTGTTGAAGCTCTAGGGGACAGCGTGAAGGGATACGAGGTAAAGTTTGAAGTCTAACTTACACAGCAGGGATCATCTAGAATATGTGAGGCACTAAGACTATGGGAAAATATATTGAAATAATAGCAGCCATGTTTTGTTTTGTCATTTTGAGTTTGATAATATTAACCATGTTTGTAATGATAGGACTTTCCAAAAATCTCATGACTGCTTATGTTTTAGGATTTTTTTTTTCATATACTATCTTTGTTGCTCCTGGCAATAGTTTGGGGAAGTGGGCTGGACAAGTCTTGTTAAATTCCTTTTTTATACTTACTTAAAATAGCTATTAAGACTTTTTGATTTTGTAGTAACTAAGCACATAGTCCCTTGGTCCATCTACAGCTACCATTTTCCACCATCTCAGGCCTAGTAATCAACTACAAAATGCAAAAGTAAGGGGAGTTAATTATTTTATAATAAGGTTCTTTAAAGTATTTCCCTAGTGGGTGCTTTTTAAGTTATCATTTATAAATGCTGAAATATTTTAGAAATGGACAAAGCAGGATTTCAAATCTAAAAAAGTGCTTTAACTCAAGTAACCTCACCCTGACAATAAGATGTAATTGGTGAGATATTAATTAATGGCTTTGGGAAGAAGGCAACATGTAAGTGGTTTATTTCATTATTCTGCTTTCATATACATGTGAAATTCTCCATAATCAAACATTTTATTTTGAAAAAATGCATGCATGAGTCTTCCTGCTGTTCTAATACAAACTAAACACAATTTAGTCTATAAAGCCTGAAGCACCATGGCTGGCAAGATGGCAGTGGATAAAGGTGCTTGCCACCAAGCCTGGTGATTTTAGTTCAATCCCTACAACACACAAGACTGAAGGAGAGAGCTACAAGTTGTCACTGACTTCCACATAAGTGCTGTGGTACACACACACACACACACACACACACACACACACACACACACACACAATCTAATGAAACACTGCAGCAATATCAGCTGTATAAAATTAGGAGTTTGACATCTAAAAACTCACTACAAATCGAATTCAAAAGTTCTCACTCACAACTGGGAATCTCAGCAGAAAGGCAGGGAGACTGACGATTGAGAACACACCATAACCAGCTTTGCAGAGCAGTCATCTTTTCTCTAACCACAATGGACACACACACAGAGAGAGAGAGAGAGAGAGAGAGAGAGAGAGAGAGAGAGAGAGAGAGAGAGAGAGAGAGAGAGAGA